GGTTATGTCCAAGAATATGCATTTTCATCTTATGCTTCCAACTAGCAAAATTAGTACCATCAAAGTAAGGACCTCTACGGCGGTAATTTCCCTCGCTAGACGCCATACTCTCCTAGGTTGTGAAACCAAGGCTATGACTACCAAAAGCTATGGATATCAAAGAAAATGGAAATCAAAGCTCTGATACCACTTCTAGGATCGAAAGTATGTCTAGAGGGGGGGTGATTAGACTACTTGAAAAAATAAAAATCTAGCCTTTTCCCAGTTTTAATTCTTGGCAGATTTTAGCAACTTAGTACAAGTCAAGCAATCAACCTACACATGCAATTCTAAGAGTATAGCAGCGGAATGTAAAGCAATTGCATATAAAGGTAAAGGGGAGGAGTTAGAGGAGGCAAACGCAATTGGAGACACGGAGATTTTTGAGCCATGGTTCCGATAGGTGGTGCTATCGTACATCCACGTTGATGGAGACTTCAACCCACGAAGGGTAACGGCTACGCGAGTCCACGGAGGGCTCCATCCACGAAGGGTCCACGAAGAAGTAACCTTGTCTATCCCACCATGGCCGTCGCCCACGAAGGACTTGCCTCACTAGGGTAGATCTTCATAAAGTAGGCGATCTCCTTGGCCTTACAAACTCCTTGGTTCAACTCCACTATCTTGTTGGCGGCTCCCAAGTGACACCTAGCCAATCTAGGAGACACCACTCTCCAAGAAGTAACAAATGGTGTGTTGATTATGAACTCCTTGCTCTTGTGCTTCAAATGATAGTCTCCCCAACACTCAACTCTCTCTCACAGAATTTGGATTTGGTGGAAAGAAGATTTGAGTGGAAAGCAACTTGGGGAAGGCTAGAGATCAAGATTCATATGGTAGAAATGGAATATCTTGACCTCAACACAAGTGTAGGTGGTTCTATTTCAGAAAATGTAAGTTGGAAGTGTAGGCATGTTCTGATGGCTCTCTCAAAGAATGAAGAGTGGGTGGAGGGGTATATATAGCCTCCACACAAAATCTAACCATTACACACAACTTACCAATCTCACTTGGACCGAATCCTGAAACTCGGTCGGACCGATGTAGCAAATAATGTGACCTTTAGGATTTTCGGTGGGACCGACATGTCAACTCGGTGGGACCGATGTGATTAGGGTTAGAGCATAACGTAATCTCGGTGAGACCGATTACACAAACTCGGTGGGACCGATTTTTGTAATAAGCTAACCAGAGAGTTGTTCAGGCAAACTTGGTAGGACCGATTCGCTCTCGGTTAGACTGAAATGTTACGAAGGGAAACAAAGAGTTTGCATTGCAATCTCGGTGGGACCGATCGCTCATCTCGGTTGGACCAAAACGTTACAAAGGGAAACAGAGAGATTACAATCCCATCTCGGTGAGACCGAGATCCCTATCGGTGAGACCGAAAAGACTAGGGTTTGTGGCAGTGGCTATGACATCTGAACTCGGTGGCGCCGGATAGAAATAATTGGTGGGGCCGAGTTTGAATTTTGGTTTGGGTCATATGTGGATGTGAGAAAGTAGTTGAGGGCTTTGGAGCATATCACTAAGCATTTTGAGCAAGAACCTCATTAAGCAACACCTCATCCCTCCTTGATAGTATTGGCTTTTCCCATAGACTCAATGTGATCTTGGACCACTAAAATGGAAAATGTAGAGTCTTGTGCTTTGAGCTTGAGCCAATCCTTTTGTCCTTAGTATTTTGAGGGGTCCACTTTTCTCATCCATGCCATGCCAATCACTGAGCTTTCCTAAAATATTTATCTTGAAATAGCATTAGCTCAATGAGCTATATGTTGTTAGGAATTACCAAAACCACCCAGGGATAGTTGCGCTTTCAAATATTCTCCAGGATATTATATTTCTTGCTGCGAAAGAAGGCACCAACCGCCTTACCATGTGTCCACAAGCCCTAGGGGCACGCCGTATGAGCTTGTGGGGCCTGTGGACCACCTCTCGTGCTGATTCTTCTTCCCTAAAATCACATATATTTCAAAAAAAATCTTTTTTTACTGCATTGGACTTTGTTTGATATGGATATTTTGTGAAACAAAAAACATGCAACAAGTAGGAACTGACACTGGGCACTAGATCAATATGTTAGGGCCATAAATAATATAAAATGTTGACAAAAGTATATGAAAATTATAGATACAGATACGACGGAGACATATCAGGTGTCAAGTTCTTCAGTAACCAAGAGTAATTGTGGTTCGCGAAGACAAAGTCTGTGAAGGTTATGGAGATCGACACAAGTTGACAAACTTGTTATCGACGAGAACAGGACGAAGAAAGTTTATCTTCTGTGTTAAATCACAAGTCCCTCCAAGGAGACATATATCTTTTGTAGAAGAGTGAACTGGTCTACCAAATCCCTCGTCGCCATCGAGCATCACTGGTTTCATCTTAATCCTGATTACCCTCGGCCGTTTTATCCCCGGTTAAGTTTCAGTCATGTGATTTCTCTTATGTACTTGTACTTAATTTGCTTCGGTAGTTTTCTATCGTAGTCTCGCATAAGTTTAGTTCTTTTCCACTGCTGTGTTCTGAGAGATTTGAAGTTTTCCAAAATAAAATTTAAATCTCCCATTCACCCCCTGGTCGACATACTTCATTCCTACACGAAACCCTATGGTGTATGATACAAACATTTATCCTAGGGCTTTTTGTAGGTGCAAATTTGGATCACATGAGTATGATGAGAGCAATGTATGTTATGATGGCGATGATGTGAGTGGAGAATATTTGCAAGGAGATGTGATCTTGAGAAAATCTATCACGTACCCCGGTGATCCCTCTTAATAGTGTGGGATCTCTACACTCAAGAACAAATCAAAAAGCATATGCTTCATATCTTTGTTTCTTCGTTCTTGAGCACTTTCACATCGAGTGGGTCCATGATCCACACACACACACACACACACACACACACACACACACACACACACACACACACACATGTTTCCACGAGGACTAAAACCTATGATATACTTAACAAACATGATCAATCCCCTATATGTATATTTTCATCAACATCAAAATAGAATCAAGGGCATGATTGCACTTTCGGGCGTGTGTGGAGCAAGTGGAGCTTCTTTACCCTAATGGGACCGCTAATAGTGATAATGTGATGAATTGTTTGCTTACTCAATTATTTGCTCAACTCTTTGCATTAAGTAGGATATCATTGCTCAACTATTTTACAAGAACTTGAACATGAAGAAAGGGAGCGAGCTGAGAGCAAAGTTCTTTGTCTTGATGCATTATTGGGTGTTGCTTCAGTACGATGACAAGTGGAAATAAAGATCAATGAGGTGCCCAATAAGAAAGGCAAGGCTCCAATTAACTACAACTCTCCCAATATCATGGATGATTCCGAAGATAGTAAGTCCAATGATGATGGTTGGTAAAGAGGAGTCCCACTCCTAGAATGGATGCACCATCAAAAAGAGGCCACTGGGGAGGAAGAGTGAAGAAAAGAGGTTGAAGAAAAGGGAAGATAGTGCATACTTGGCCACACTTGAGATCATGGTTGTTGATGATAAGTCAAATCACTTCTCAGCTTACCTCTCTTCACCCAAGATGGGGCCCCAAAATCCTAGACACCTCGGAGAAACTAGAAGTTTACCACTGTGTCAGGAGGAGGCTTACTGCCATACTACATATCGGTAATAGGAAACACTCTACGAATATGGAAAGACCCTAAACGTGTTAAGAAATGACACCATGACCGACTCCAAACCCTGCATGCCCTGCGCAGCGACATGAAAGCCTTCCATAAGTTGTGGTATAGAAGGGGCACCGGGGGCACCCTCTAGGGGTTCCTTCTCCCACACCATCTTTTAGATTAGACCACCTACAGGGATTTGGCGCTTAACACACGAATCTCCACCATCATATCTCGTCGAGATCCTCCCCCTACATTGTAATATTCGGTACTCCTCACATGTATATAACAAAAGATCAAGGCAGGAAGTAGGAATTTTACCCACATCGGGAGCCCGAACCTGGGTAAAATTGCATGTGCTTGTGGTTTGTGTCTAGGACCCCCTGGTCTCCTGGCATGACATCCCATCGACTACAAATTCCACGTACTCCCCTTGTGCCAGCCTCTGTTAGGATCGGTGAAACGTCCCTCAACAATGGTAACCACATGAAAGGTTGTTGTATAGAGGACAAGAGAGAAGGTGAAAAGATGGACTGATCTCAAAGAATTAGATGAACGCTAGATTGCCTTCCAGAAGTGAAGGGTGGGCATGGTGGAATTCTGAACTGCCATTGAGGAGAAGATGTTGATGAACAAGCACGATAAGCAAGAGAAAAAGCTTACATTCATGAATCTAGAAGGCCTCAATCCTAAGGGAAGAGCCTATTTCGAGTTTATGTGTGATCAAGTTTTGACATCCAAGGGCACATACATGGGATTCATGGGTGGTTTTGGTTGCCATGGTGGTGAGCATGGTGACCATGGTGGAAGCTCAGGTGCCATGAGTAGCGGTGGGAGTGCATGATGTATGAACTATGCTTGTTGGTTTTGTTGGATCTTGTCTTGTGAGAGACCTATCTTTTGGATAAACTTGAATCCCAAAATTTGTGACTTTGAAATGTATGGAGTATGTGAGCAACGTTTTCATATTTCTTGGAATTATATCATGATGAATTCCTTTATTTGCTTGAAATGTGCACAATTGAGAGATATAGGCAATTAGAAGATGGTATAAGTAGTTTCATGTAAGCTATCAAAGATGAGCAAAATTCTCCTATACCTAATGTAATTTTAACATATTGGTATGCTATTGAAGATGCTCTAACATATTGCTAATGGTATTGTTGTCATGGTTCATGTTGCTAGTGTAGTTCACACCCCCTATGTCAATGCATAGGGTTCTGTTGAAGTTTATGGGGCTCTCGGCACATTAAACATTTAAATTCTGAAAATCTCAAAGGTCCATTAGTATTGCATGACATAGGCGCAATATTTAGTCCCACGTGGGAGCAGAGGGGGTGTTGAGCCCCGCATATGAGGGGTTGTTTTTCTCACCTCCCTCAAGCATGAGAACTCTGCACGCGTCGTATTTCGTGAATGAACACAGCTCAGCTTCATTTTTGCCAATTGAAATGGATAATTGTTTGTCACTCATAGATGCCTTGATAATAATTGTTTTATTACCATTAACGGACACATTAATAGCTAGTGCACAGAATACAGATTCCTGGTACCATCAATGCTAATCTGCCCGCTTAAACTTGAAAGGCAAATAGCTAATTCCAACAGCATCAGAGGAGAAGGGGCAGCTCAAACTTTAAATTGCGAAGGCGCTACCGGCGATGTTCTTTGTCGAGGGCATACCGGCAGTAACATCTTCTTCGATGCCACATTCATTCTTGCCCCTTATGATCTTGAAGTACCCGTCCTACAATGCATCACAAACCAAAACTTATTAATTAGCCCAACGAATGCATTCACTCTTGCAAGTCAACAATACAGGGTATTTGTCACTCACATCGCCCCAGCCTCTGTTCCACTGATTTGCAAGAAGCTGAAAATCAGAAGACAAAATAAAACATGTCAGGACTTGATCATTTGGTTAATAAATAGTGCAATATAGAGAATTAACAAGATACCCAGTAATCCTCGCCAGCATCACTAGTTCCCCAACCAATCAACTTGACGGCGTGACCTCCCATGACTCCACCGGTGATGTGCTTGTACACTCCTGACTTGTAGTGTGCGAAGTCCTGGAGGAAATTGCAGAGTGAAATCAGCACAGCGAGTAACAAATATTTCCATTCACCTTTGATGGTAGAATCTTAGTCTTATATATAATCACAAAGCATATGAGCTGTTGAGCAAATTCAGAGCTCGAAAGATAATAACAGTATTTCGTACTACAGTATGCTAACTAGAGCATGTATGTTTTGTTTCTCTTTCTTCTACTGTCATGTTCTTTCTATGGTTTTATTCCGTTTTACAGCTTTTCAAAATATTGTTGATATTATCTTTGTCATTTAGAAGTAATTAGCAGAAATTTTGGTCCATACTCCACCAACATTTTGACAGCCTTGGGAAAACACACGTCAAACATCAAAGGCGAATCAAAGTTACCTCATAAACTGTGAAAGCAACTTCTACAGGGCCATTATTGTAGACCTCTGCCATGATGTCATGTGGATCAGAGTTTACTTGGTATGCATTGATGCTGAAATGTTTCTTTTCCTCCCAAACTTGGTTCTGCACCTTGCATTTCTTTTCACACACAGGTGTAGGATAAGCAGGTTCACATCCAGGATGCTTGCAGCCAACCTGATCAAAGTATGGATCGCACTGCAAGATAGTAATATTTACAAGGGTTAGTGGTATGCTGAGCTTGAGGTTTTTTTACAAGAAAAATTAGGGGAGAGCCAAATGATACAAGCACTACCTGAGCTGTTAAAAAATGTATTAACAAACCAATCAATTTCATTTATAGAGTGCATTATTATTAATAGTTAATGTAGCAGTCAATTTACATTATATTTGTATATGACAGATTCAGTAATACCCATTGTTGCAGTTAGAATACAGAGAAGTGATTCATAATAATATTATCAAATCAAAATGATAATAATAATAATAATAGGATTGCTCTGGGAGGATCATGATATTGAAGTGGTAGTAAGTAGGGAGTTAGCTATACCTCGTCAGTAACAACACCATTCTGGACGAAGTATTGCCACGCACTGATAGGATATCCTCCATCACAACCATCGCCACACATAAACCCACAGCAAGCCACTAGGTCATTGGCAGAAAGTGTAATGTTCTGCAAGGAATAGAAACAGCAGGCTGCTTATGTAAGAAAGGACCAAACATTCCTGTTTAAAAAATAGACCAGATAGTAGACAGATCGTGCATATGCACTCACCATGTTGTGATGGATGCAGAAACGATCTTGCAGGCACTCCACGGCACCAAAAGCCCAGCAGGAACCACAGTGACCCTGCCATTGGTAACCAATACAGACTAGCTTGAGCATCTTCAGTTGTTCAGTAAGCACTCGTGGAGCTAACAATCTAAGGTAGTGTGCATAGACTTACTTGATCTGCTCATGAAAATCAGCGTTTTCCAAGGTATTGGAGGAAAACAAAGAGCAAATGAAGTTGGTCAGTGCAATTAAAACAACGTAGAACCGGTTGATGATCATTGAGTTATCTAGTTGAAACTTACCAAGTATTTTCCCAATTGTGCTGCAACCGGACCATTTCGACCTGGCGTCGAACACCTTTGGGAGCTGCTCCGATCTTGAATGAGTTTTGGTGCGAACAGCAGCCCGTAAACCTGGAGGCGTTGGCTTCACTCCCAGCATATGCTTAAATTGCTCAATCTGCACGGAAGAGGATGATTTTGAGATCAGCAAACAGAGGAGAACAAAATGGTTCTTCTATGACAACAAGATTAGGAGGGTGTTATATGTACAGTGTAATTCGCGAGGTAGGGGTTGTGTCCAGCCGTCCATCCGGCGTTGGGGTGGTTGTTGACCGTTTGTATGATATCTTTCTGCAACAGTACAATACAATGATGATTAGTACTCTGTAATCCAAAGTAGTACAAACAATAGAAGATGATGTCAGTCTGATGGGGATAAAAAAGCAACCTGGATGATTCCTAGGGAATGGTCTCTCCTTGCTGCACCGACGAGCTGCAAGTACGTTGCACAAACACATGTTAAACAGACATAGATGTGATTCAGCCAATTGCATAGCATCAGTATTGATTCTTGCCCCCCATAGAAAGAAAGGGATCGAACTTTGGTTCAGAGCTGTTCGATTTTCAGTGTTACGTCATCAAGTTTAGCATCAGAGGAAGGCCCCTCCGCTGGCTCCTCATCGAGCTCCAGCACGTCGCCGGAGGCCCCTCCGCCGCGGGTCGCGGCTCTGTCGCAACCCCTTGGTCGGGGGTGGATTCGCGCTTCGCCGAGGACGGGTTACAGTACTTCCGGGATTCGCAGAACTACAGTACTACTAATCAATCTCCGCAGCTTGCCAAATTGGATTCTTTCTAAAGATAACGGAAGCTGCTACTGGTACCAACTACCAAATTCGGATACGCGAGATTTTTTTTGGTTTGACTTCTCAAAGCAGCTGTGAACTGTGAGCAAAGAGCAGAGGTGGCGATGGGATCTCGACTCCATCGGAGTTCGGACGAGAAGAGCCGAACCTGGGGGGCGGCCGCGGCGGCGGAGAGGACGACGAGCAGCGCCAGCGGGAGTAGGCTCCCCATCTTCGTCCTCGATCGGCGACGGGGGGAGGGAGGAAGCAGAGGAGGGTAGCTGCAAGCCTGCTACTGATTGCCTTGCTTCTCCTCCTACCCCACGCCGCCCTTTTATAATTGGTTCCGAGGGGGTAGACGCAGACGCTACGACTGTCTGAGCGCGGTACGATGGAGACCGCCGATTTTTTTCCCAGCCTTGGGAGTGACGCGCGCGCTCGCTTTCCGTTCCTGGCCAATCCCGCTGCGCAGCGTAGCGTCACGCAACGGCGCGCGTGCTGCCACGCCAGAATCAACAACCCGTTTTTAATTCAAACGTATGTATCCATATCGGCTTCGCTCGCCCATGCGTTGCCGTTGCTTCAATGTTTCTCCTTGCGAGAATCCTTTTGCGGAAAAATTTGTACTCCTACTCCATTATTGTAACGCAAGACATTTATAAGCGCGGCGGTTTGCGGATTATTTGTGAGGGGTGCATTTTTTCATAAGATATGCAAGTATTAGTAGAAGATATCGAATGCAAATAGAGGGTTGCATATCGTCTTGATTCGTCCATGGGTTGCCATTGCTTCAATGTTTCTTCTTGCGAGAATCTTTTTGGAGATTTTGTGCTCCATTGATGGGTTGCCTGCATATTTATTTTTTGAAACGGGCATTTGTTAGAGGATATCAAATATGACTATGTAGATATATGAGGTTATTTATTGTTTTTGAATGTTACAACCCGCCACTCTACAATCTTTCAACTACCTCGACCTCACGGTTTAAGGCCGGATATGCCAACTTGCCAAGAGGCCCTGGAAACATTTAAAGATTATTATTTTTGGGTGGGAGGAGGGTGGCAATTAATAGAAGATATCGAATGTGGACAGAGAGTTGCATATTTTGATAATTACTCCCTCCGGTATGGTCACTGACGGTGTTGGAAACACAGTCAGCTTAATCATGAAGATCAATCCACGCATGCAATTAAAGAACACGCAAGAATTCAAAATGATACAATCTGAATTGCGGATATAATAAGAAGTATACTTGTTTAATAGAGTCGGATTCTCGTACATGAGGTTTCGCCGAGTCTCATATCTATGGCAAAGAGTAGCAAACAATATCATTCTCAAGCGCCTCATGTCGATGGATTTGACATCTCTGGCATCATCCCCATGCCAGTGATGTTGGGTGGTTGCACCCTGGGAGCTGCAGTGTCAAAGTACAATCCCAATAATTTTTTCTTGAGTATGATATTTTCCTCCCCTGCTTCTATCCTCTCATCTTCGCAACAAAGAGCAACGAGACACGAGTTTTAAAAGACAAAAAAACCCGGTAAGCATGGTAATCCCTTCTTCTCTCTTAAATATATAGTTTCTAGCAAGCCTAAACAATACAGTAAAAATGTGTGTTTAATAAATCTTACATTGCCGTGCATATGGGCACATGCACACATGTGCATACACACACATGCTCAAACGCAAACACAACACACATAGACATATGCACAACACGGGCTCGGCTCCTCTACAGTCGTCTTCCCAATGTATATGTGTTCTAGTTGTCAATAATAGCCATCCATTCCAATCCAACGACACTCTTGCCCCTTAATTCTGCTATTAACTTTAATCGCTAATGGTTATAGGCTTGGCGCCAAACAGCAGTCGAAGTGTGATATATGGCTCTAATTTAACCCAATTTTCCTTGGAAAAAAAATCTAGTTTTGGAGTTATTTGGAATTTGGTGCAACCATGTTGCCAAACGAAGGCCAATTTATGTGGTAATGACTTGGGGAATTTGGATACTTTCACATGAGGATTGAGGTTATTAGTCCATCGTGCGCGAGATTGGGATTTCCTCTCCCTTCTTTCCCACTTGAGTGGCTTGGGGAGAGTTTGATAGAGTGAGAGTTATGTGTTTCCTCACCAGATCTATCCATAAGCGAGTGCTTTGTGCTCATTTCTGAGAGGCTATTTGGGGTTCCTCCTTTATTTGTTGGCTCCCATCTTATATTTTTCTTCTCCATAGTAAATGATTGCTCGTGCTGCCTCTCGGGGTTTTTCCATAAAGGTTTCCATGTAGATCTTGGTGCCAACCCCTTCTATTTGTATTATTTTGCTATGCTTTCCATTATCTGGTCACCTTGCTTGCTACTTGTGTCATGGTGTATTTTGATGTCTTGCATAGGAGAATGCTAGTGTTATTTGATATGTTGACAATTCCGGGGAATTGATCTTGTGGTCTATGTTCTTGCAAGTATAATGCAACAAAATGCTTGGTGGTTGTCATGTGTGTAGATGTCAAGTTATGTTTTCTTGTTAGTGTATGCACAAAAGGTGTTTGATGGAATGTCTACAAGGATTAAACTTAGAGTTTGGTATATTTTCACATTGTATGCTTCCGCTACCCCATTAATTTAGGCTCACATGTGACATGTATAATTGTTGCCACTAATGTTGTATGTTTGGTGGGCTCTAGCTTATTATGGCTATTGTCGCCACAATTGGTATCAGGGCAATGGGTGTATCAAAGGCGTTTGCATGTGTTTATTGTTGCAAGTGTGATGTCAACTTCAGTTGCTAGCAGGCTTGTTGGAAATGGTGATATTGTTGGGGAACGTAGAAGAAAACAAACAAAAAATCACCCTACAATCACCCAGGAACAATATGAAGATGCATTACGGTTTGGATTTGATCGTTACTGACTCCGAGTTGCAGCGGAAGAAGACAGGTCGGTGTAGATCGAGTCCCTCGAACCGTAGATGAATGATCCCATCAACCGCTCATGAACAGTCCCTTAAACGAAAGACTAAAACATGACCTCTTTATGAGTTGCAAGCGCACGTTCTTCACGATCCAGCAGTGATTCGCTGTCTAGAGCTAATTGTCGCCGAAGAATTAGAGGGAGGACATTAGAACCAGACTGGGCTTCTAATTATGAGGATTATAGGATCTAGGCCAAGCTCTGATTGGTCAACTAGGACCAACTAGAACTAGAGCTATAGAACCAGAGGAGGCTCCAAAACTTGTGTATCTCAAAGGTGCAAAAGCCTCTAGTGTATATAGGTTGGAGGGGAGAGGAGGGGCACCACACAAGGGGGAAAGGGTTCCCCCCTTGCGCCATCCAAGAGAGGTAGGATGAGTCCTCCCCCTAGTCCAATTCAGCCTCCCCTATAGGAAACGGGGGGCACAACCCTTTTGGGCCCTTGTGGCCCAAGTTGCCTTCCACCTCTTGGCCTTTTTAAGACCCGTTGATATTTAATTAATTATAAAAGTCTTCCAACAAATACTAGAGCCTTTTATTATTGATTTAACATCTCTAGAAACATTTTCCACCTATATATCATTTATCGGTAATACCTGGTATTGCCCGATAAACTCTGAAACCCTTTCGGTGACCCCGAAATGCTTCTGGTTCCTCTTGAAACTATTTCGAATATTGACAAAACTATTTCACAAATAAATCCTCATCACTCTCGTCTTACTAACACTAAGTAGATCATGATTATCTTAAGATTGTGACTTTGTAGGTTCGGAAAAACATAGACATGAACAAAACTCTCTGTTCAATGACTGATAGCAGAATTGTGGACGTCCATATCGATCCTATGAGTACATGAATGACATTCAAGTGAACCTTTAGTTATCATGTGCTATTCCCTTTGCTTCGCGATACTTTATAAAGCCTAAAGTGAGATGTATCGGTATCCTCTTGAGTCATACACATGCTCATTATATCGTTGTCCTCGTTACCGGTTTTGTTCTTCTTTCTCGTTGAACCGTTCCGGCATCCCTGTGACATAGTAGCCTATGTTTGTTGATGTCTACTATGCAACTTGTTCTTGTAGACTCGTGTTGGGACTCCAAGCGCAGAGTTTTGTAGGACAGTAAAAATTTTCCCTCAAGTGGATGACCTAAGGTTTATCAATCCGTGGGAGGCGTAGGATGAAGATGGTCTCTCTCAAACAACCCTGCAACCAAATAAGAAAGAGTCTCTTGTTTCCTCAACACACCCAATACAATGGTAAATTGTATAGGTGCACTAGTTCGGCGAAGATATGGTGATACAAATGTAATATGGATAGTAGATATAGGTTTTTGTAATCTGAAAATATAAAAACAGCAAGGTAGCAAGTGACAAAAGTGAGCAAAAACAGTATTGCAATGCTTGAAAATAAGGCCTAGGGTTCATACTTTCACTAGTGCAAAGTCTCTCAACAATGATAACATAATTAAATCATATGGCAATCCCTCAACGTGCGACAAAGAGTCACTCCTATCATAGAGAAAATAAGATGAAATTTCTTGTAGGGTACGAAACCACCTCAAAGTTATTCTTTCCGATAAATCCATTGAGATATTCCTATAAGTGTCACAAACAGCCCTAGAATTCGTAGTAAAATAACACCATATTATGCACATCAATCAACCCTAATGTCACCTACACATACTACAATGTCACCACAAGTATCCGTGGGTCAATTATACGATATGCATCAAACAACTTCAAATTCATAATATTCGATCCAACACAAAGAACTTCAAAGAGTGCCTCAAGATTTCTACCGAAGAAACAAGGACGAAAACGTGCATCAACCCCTATGCATAGATTACCCCAATGTCACCTCGGGGATTCACGACTTGAGTACCAAAACATACATCAAGTGAATCAATAGAACACCCCATTGTCACCACGGGTATCCCACGCAAGAAGTACATCAAGTGTTCTCAAATCCATAAAAGTATCCAATCCGATAATAGTGAAACCTCAAAGGTAAAACTCAATTCATCACAACGAGATAGAGGGGGAGAAACATCATATGATCCAACTATAGTAACAAAGCTCACGGTACATAAAGATCGTGCCAAATCAAGAACACGAGTGAGAGAGAGAGAGAGAGAGAGATCAAACACATAGCTACTGCTACATACCCTCAGCCACGAGGGTGAACTACTCCCTCCTCGTCATGAAGACCGCCAGGATGATGAAAATGGCCTCCAGTGATGATTTCCCCCTCCGGTAAGGTG